TGTTCAGAACAGGCACTTGGTTGATGGAATATGCCATCCAGCTGGCTGATGATGGCTTGCAAATGCTGCCAATGTTGAGGAGAAAAACTGGCAACATCAGAAAGATAGCTGACCCAGTCAGCAAAATGCTGCTTTTGTTCAAGCTCAGAAGGGAGAAACAACACAGACAAAGAGTTGCTAGAACTCATAGTGAGCTTGGAGGTGCCACCAACAGAATGATGGTTTTTGAAACCTACCTGGACAGCCTGCTCCACCAACAGGCTTTACAAAAAGGCTTTGAAGGGGTGAACCAAGTCTCACTGTGCTGGGATCCTTCCTCCTATGGAGGGAAGGATGTGCTCATCAGTGTTGTGTATGCACCTTCAATTGACAAAGCAGCTTACCTTTTGAGCCAACAACTCTCTCAAACAATGCTCTCTGAGCTCTCTGAAGACCTTTTGCCTTTGGCAAGAGAGAGGAAACTTGTGAGACTAGAGGGGTTCAAAGAAATGAAAGGAGTGAGTGCAGCTCTTAACTCCATTGGGCTTTCCCTTCACAGCTTTGCTGTGCCAAAGGGCCTTTGCTGCAGGCCTTTGGAAAGGACAGAATACAGACTTGAGGGGGCAAATGGCATGCACTACATCATGGATGACAAAACCAAAGAGATGAAGCCAGAAATCCCTCCAGACATGGACCTAGCAAAAGTGGCCTGTCTAGTGTCAATCAGTGACCAGGGGCCAAATGTCATTGCTTCCATCAACTACCTCCAGTATCACCCACAAAACTCGATAATGTGTTTAGCACTTTTTGACCCCTTCCACCGTGGGTGGAATGACCTCAAGCTGGCACTGAAGAGAGGAGTTAGTGGGCTCTGGAGAACAGTCCTGGAGTTGACAGTTGTTGCCAACTTAAACTATGGGCCTTTTGGCTCTGGCAACTGGTTTTGGAAGAAGAAGGCCAAACTCCAGGATTTTTTGATGTCAGAAGGCATTGACAGCAGCATTTGGAAAACATACCAACACCACATCTGTGTAGAGCAAAGAAGGCAAGAACCAAGAACTGTGGAGGAAACCCAGGAGCTTTTTGATGAACTAGCTACCATGGACTCCTTTACCACCAAAGGACCACTCATTAAACTTATGAGATGGTTCTCTTGGTTCGAGTCAATGGCATTTTGCCATGGAGAGCTCATTGCTACCAAGATGATTTTGGAGCATAGTAGCCAGGTTGGTGGAGAGAAGAGTGGTGAGGAGGTAGATGAAGCCCCCAAAGGCAACATTAAAGATGATGCTGAACAGCTCAGAGAGCTCAAGAAAAGAAAAGGGAGCTGGAAGTTGGCACCACAACTCATCACCAACAAGAATTTGGCCAACAAAGACATCATCATGGCAGTAGGCAAAGCATCTTGGTCCCTGTTTGCCAGCAGGGCAAAGGAAATTGTTTCTCCAGTCCATGTCCTGGAGTTCAACATTTCAGCTGCTGCTCAGAAGTTCTGGTGCCATGAAATTGTGGAAATGATTGACAAATCCCTCCACAATGAACAGAACTTGCAGCACCTATTGCCAGAATGGAGGGTCATGGATGATGTTCTTGTTTGGCATACTGATTTTTTTGAAAAGCTTGTAGAGCAGAGGGTCCACAGCCTCACATCCTTCTACCTCTTGCCTCCCATGTGCTATGCCCACCTTTTGGCCCCTTCACCACAAATTGCAAGGCAAGCCCATGCCTTGGCCTTGAAGCACTGGAGGGTCTTGCTGGCAGCAGAAGGGGCCAAGAATGAAGGCATGGATTTGCAAGCACTCCAGACCATGCACTGGAGGCACAGCCCTTTCATTCGAACAATACTCTTAGCTTTTGAGCAGGATGAGCACAGGCGCCTGTTTTTTCACCTCAGAAAGTGCTTCCATGAGATTGATGCAGGTTGTGGCAAAGAATCTTGGTGACAGTCGACTTGTTGAGAACATCCACCAGTTTGGAAAGGACCTCTTCAGGGAGTCCAAGTCAAATACTGTCACCAACACTGCAATAATGTCCAATGCCTTGAGGTCGAAGGTGTTGGAAGGAAGGAAGGTCCAATGCATCAATGCAGAAGTGGTGCAAAAGGCTCTGGGGCCTCAGTGGAACTGCAAGCACAAAGGGGGGCATTGTCAGAAGTTTGAAGACAGCTGGGAAGGCATTGCCACCAACATTGCAGCACCTCATGAAGCCCAAGTCAAAGATCCACACCTGGCCCAGCCCATCACCAGCTTCTTTGTTCCAAACAGTGGCATCCAGTCAGTGGGTGTTTGAGTATTGGGAACACAAGAAAAAATATGAAGACCAGGGCATCAACTCAGCTTGGCTCACTTGCCTGGCCAAACCTGGGTCAATCCTTGCACAGAGGTCAACTGGCCTGCTGGTCAAGGTTCTGGCCTCATCAGAGTTCTCCTTCATAGGTATCACCATGGATGTGCAGAAGAACCTTCAAGGCCAAACATATTACCTTGCACCACCCAACAGAGATTGCATTTTGTGGCACCACATTTTTGATTTGAGTGACTGGCTGGTGCTGCAGTGCAAACCTGTTTTGGTGAATGGTTCCCTTGGCCCTGTTGGCTGGGTGAATGAAGGGAGCCCCCCTTTCTTTGGAAGCTGCTGCCCTCATCTCTGGCCAGACATTGACCTACAAACAAATGCTGGCCTTGGCAAAAAGGTTCGGGTTGCAGGTGAAAGGGAACACACCCAAGAACACTGTGCATGAGATCTTGATTGGTGAGCTGGTGCCTGAAGGGTTCCAAGCAGAAGCCAGGGCCCACATCCAGGCAAAGAAAGAAGAAGACATAGACACTGACTTCTCTGAAGTTGTGTCAGAGCTGGGCCATGAGGAAGGCAACCAGCAAGACATCAAGGAATACCAAGAGAAAAAAAAGACATCGCAAGTTGAAGACCAAACTGGCTGCCAAAGACAAACCAGTCTCAGCAAAACCAAAAAGAAAGCCAAAGGGCAAGGCCAAACCAAAGGCACAGGGCAAGCACTCAAAGACACTCTTGGGTACTTTGCTTAAGAGGACACTGAAGCTGAGACAGGAGCAGCTTCAGGAAGAAAAAGAAATGGCAGCACAGGAAATGGATGTGGATGATGAGGAGGCTCCTGAGCCTGAAAGGGATGTAGGAATGGGAGGAGAGCCAGGGGCACCTTCACTTGCAATGCCAGGGGGTGGATCCAGTGAAGTGGGTGAAGGTCTGCCATCTTCATCCTCAAAGGGGCCTGTGGCCAGTGAAGTGTTTGAAGGTGAGCCATCTTCATCCTCAAAGCGGCCTGTGGCCAGTGAAGTGGGTGAAGGTGAACCAAGCCACAAAAGACCCAGGGCTCCCAAGCAGAAATCTCCACAGGAAATTATGGCACTGCTGCAGCCACCAGGCTGCACAATGGGGCTGTCTTTCCAAGACCATCGCTTTACCAGCACCTGGAGGAATGAGCACAAAGAGCTCCCAGGAGAATTTGGGCAACTGAGTTTCACCAGGAACTTTGCCAAGCGCAGGACTTGGGAAGAAGCCTTGGTGTTGGTGCATTCCCATAGCTGGGCAAAGTGGGGGTTGCTGAAGGCTCAGTACCCTTTGAGTCCAGGGCAGGGGGGAACAAATTGGAGGGGTAATCCCTCAAGATGTCTTGGACCAGCTGAAAGTGATTGTGGCCACACTGAAGCCAGCTGTGAGATATGGCCAGAGAGGTCGATCTGATTGAGGGCTCTGTTTGCTATGAGGTGCACATTTGAATGCCATTCTGAAACCTCCATGTCTGCCAAAGGCAGCTGCAGATGACAGAGTGCTGCCAAGAGAAAGAATGACTCAATGACTACAAACCTTTGCTGTGCAAGTGCTGCGCTGGACTGTGGCTGCAGTGGGGCTTGCTGACCTGCTGCCTTGAAGGGGTGGTGGAGGGTTGGATGAGTTTGGGAAGGCAATGTTGTGAAAGCAATGTCAGTTGTGAAGGCAATGTTGTGAAAGCAGTGCTGTGAAGGCAATGTTGTGAAAGCAATGTTAGTTGTGAAGGCAATGTGTTGGAAACTGTGGCTGCAGTCTGTGTGAGTGTGTGACTGCAAGTGAGTGCTGTGGGGTTTGCTGTGATGTGGATTGGCCTACTTGGCCAGGGTGCACTGCTTTGTAGTGGTGCTGGAAGTGTGGCTTTTTGTGGCTTTGTTTTTTTGAACTGACCAGCAAGTGAAGGAAACTAAAACAGCTGGGTCATTGCTTGACCTAAGTGGCCCTGGACTGTGTGAGCAGTTCAGTTGAGTTATGTGGTACCAGGACCTTGTGATGTTTGCCTAATGCCATGCAATCAGTTCAACCAGTTGGGAAGGGTTTTTTGTTTTGTGAATGTCATTGCCCCTGCCAGGAGAATATGGCATTTTTATGATGCATGAGAGTTGCCCTGGCTTAGAGAGCCAATTTATTGAATTTCTGAATCACAGGTGTCACACAAGACTTGGACAAACCTGACCAGTGGCATTTGGAAAAGGTGAGTTGTGAAGCTTGCCAACATGTCAGTCCAAATGTTTTGCTTTGCCAAGAGGTTGTGGGAACAACCAGGGTTTCCCTTGGGATTTGCCAGGGTTTTATGTTGGAGTGTTTTTTTTGGGGGAAACACATGAAGCGTACCCTTATCAAAGCGGCACTGCAAGTTGGTCCATGATTTTAGGGAAAACAGATGAATTCTCAAGACTTGATCATGTACAGCAGGTGACCTTTCAAAGGGATTTCCGCGTGTTTTCCAGGCGGTTTGTTGGGGGGGCCTTGTTCAGCAAACCTCATTCACTCAACGTTCGCCACTGCCGCGATGGTGCTGAAAAGCCGAATGTTCTCCAACAGACTTGGTGGGTCAGGCCGTAAGAGCCAGCACTGCTCAAGCCTGTTGGTCGATTTGTTTTGCTACCTTCATTTTAATATATATATATATACAGTTTATCCGAGGGCTTGTTGTTTGTTGGTAGATAGCAGAGGGCATCCTAATCCAAGGTTCAGTTTGGTTCAGTCCCTTTCAGGTTTTATGGTCATCACTTTTGGTCCGCAGTGATTGGGCACCGCTTGTCCTCGGTTCGCTTCATGGCGCAGCGCGGCAGCGCTCTCCAATGCCCCTGCGGGCGTCCGTCCAGCGGTGGTGCGGAGCAAGGGTGGAGGCCGCGGAAGCCTTGAGGCGCTCGCGGGGAGCGTCGACGGTCTGAGGGGTGGAGGTGATTCAGGACATGATTCATGAGCCCACGTTTTGGGGCCTCAAGTTCCGACACGTTTCAGAGCTGTTTGAGGTCGGTCCTCAGGGTCCAAATATATACCTTCTGAGGAGGTAGGTGTTTGATAGTTTTCATGGTTGATGGCCAGGAGCTCATGAACACAAAAAGCATGCCCGACGCGTTGGTCCAGCATCGCTGGCCACGGTGGGAAGTATATGGCCTCACGATGCCCGCTACATGGTGCTTCGGTTTGGATTGACAAACACCCATCAATATGGTTTGGTTTATTCAATCAAGAGTCTATTCAATTCCAATCCCTAGGGATCCAAGTACCTTCTCAGGTACGGTGATTGGAGACACTCTTATGTAGGTTTTGAGGGTCCAAGTACCGTACCTGAGAAGCTACGGCTGGATCCCTAGGGAATCACCAGTTCTTCATAACGTTTTAACACCCCACACGGATCAACAGAAGTCGGATGGGCAGAACGTCGGACCCCCCCAAATGAGTCGGACCCGCTTCCACCGACGTTCAGAGTCACCTTCCCATTCCGCCGAAGGAATCCCCATCCGTGGGATGGGTAACGACCGCCACCGTGGACAACACAGGAGAATGACCGGTTCATCCGGTCAAAGCCATTTCCCTTTCGAAGGCGAAGTTCCACGTTCGGACAACCCCCCACGTGCGGCTACCAGAGGTCGAGGTCCGGTCCGATCGGCGGATGCACGCCTCGACCACCGTGGCCGGTCGCAGTTGGAGCTCCAAGCCTTTCGACGCGTCGTTGGAGCCAGGAGCTTCCTGGTCTCCAAGGGTGCCGAGCTCGATGCACAGACCTTGGGACCAGGTGAATGGAGAGCATGTTTTTGACCCGTCTCGAACTAGCTCACTCCTGAATTGGAGGGAGTGAGGGACGGCGATGGGGGCGATAGGGTCGCGGGGGGTCTTCGTATTTATTCAACAGGAAGCGGCTTTTGGAGCTACAGGGAGTTCCCCAAACCGACCCTTGATTTTTAGAGTGGTTCCACTGACTGTGTGAGGCAGGATGAAGTTCACATGTCGAAGCAGTGTTCGTGGGGAGGAGGAAAAAACTATATATAAATCCTCCAGGATGACTTGCGATGCTTGGGGTAGATGCAGCCAAAATGGAGAGAGAGAGAGAGGGAGAAAGAGAGTCAGGCAAAAGTCATATGCATGATCATATATATCAATGAAGTGATCGAACTTCCTGAACAAAATAGATCAACGGCTGATTTTTCACTCCCTGAACTTCAATGAAGTGATCAATAGTGATGAACAAAACCTCTTGTTCTGCCAACTCCTGGTCCATGTTTCAGATCGATTCCCTCCGGGTTCCAGGCATCGGGACCCATGGCCTGGGCATCTTTGCGCGCCGGCCCATTGCCAAGGGCGAAGTGCTGGCGGCCGCCGCTCAATTCGTCGATGGCGGAGCGTATTTTTGGGAGTGGACAAAGCCAATAGGCCTGGGCACCAGACGAAGCAAGAAGGGACTGGGGGAGAAGGTAGTTGGATCCCTAGGGATACTTAGAGGTCCCAGATGTTAAGAGAAGATGTGGCAGTGATTCCATCAGGGCGATAGCCCTTCAACGACCCACACACACACACACACGAAGGGTTTGGAGGATCACCGACTCTCGGTGATCCCAAATGGGTTTGCGGGACCAAAAGCTAACACATGTCATGTTCTTCAAATTCTTCATTTCTGGTTGGTAACATAGCTATGCTGCGCTAGGACATGTGCCTTTGTCAGTGTGAACCTCCTTTGTCCTTTGTCCGGGTTACCCAGGGCGTGAAGCGTGAAGCGTTCACGCTTCCGAGGCTTTTCACCGGGGTCCCACTAGGCCACAGAACTGTGGTGAACCGCACGCTGAGGTTTTCTTCGTTTAGCAGTTAGTCGCCTTGCCTGGACGGACCCAGTCACTGTCTTTCTTTCTTTCGCAACGGACTCTTCGAACACGAACCAGCAAGACAAATGAATTCAGATTCCACCCACCTGCGTACACTGTGACCCAGTCACTGGATAAACAAAAGATCACGAAAGACCCAGTCACTTGGAATATGTTGGTGATTAGGGGCGCCTCACTAAGCCAGAAGATGCGAACAGGTGGACAAAAACACACTGTACAATGTTCCATAATTCCATAATTGTTTTCCGGCTCGGGAGTCCATCTTTTTTGTTGAACGTGGAAGAATTGATTTGATTATTATTGTTATTCTTCGTGTTTCTCCGCTTCTCGGGGGCTCCGAGGTCCCACGCTCTTTGGTCCTCGAGGTCCCCCTCGCTCCGACGACGCCCACGGTGCCCACCCTACGCCCGAGCCCGCTGGCGGGCGCGTTGCCCACGGGCGGCCGCTGGTACGACGTGCTGGGCGACGGCGCCGGGCGCGCGGCGGCGCGGCGGCTGGCGGAACGACTGCTGGAGGAAGAAGAGAAGGGCTCGAAGGTGAGGACTTGGCGTCCAGTCAGCCTGCGGGTGGGTGGAGTCGAGCCTGAGGAGCTTTGGGAGGTATATGGAGGTAGTAAAGGGTATACTTGTACCGTACCTATAGAACATCCTAGAACCTCTTCCTGGGCAGACATGTTTGCCTATTTGGGGAAAAGGGACCTTAATTTGTGCTTGGGCGTTCTTGTCCCTTCTGGGCGTTCTTTTCCTTTTGGTGGCAATAAGGATCCACCCACCACTGATTATACTGATTACAGGATGGTCTTGGAACATTCCGCAGTGAGGAACATCATATCAGGAATTTGCTTGACGCTTCACTTGCATGCATGGTTAATACGTTTTATAACGACGGCCCGAAACTAAGAATGACTTTCGTGCCATTCCGTTTCAAAAAAAAAAACCTCCTCCCAAAGGCTCGTGGGGTCTCATATGCACAACCCGGGGGTCTCGTATGCACACCCCAATCACACTTTGAAAATCTTGACCCCTCATGGGGTGTGGGACCTTATCCAGGGGGGTCCGTGGGGTCTCGCAGCGAGGGGTCGCCTATGTTGTTTTAGTGTCAAGTACATGAAGGGTCCCATATATATTGGTTCATTCCATGTTGCTTCCAGAAACCAAAGGAGCCAACACCTCGAGCGGGCCCCCCCTTTGTGGCCAAGGCGTCGAACCTTTCTCGCTGAGCAGGTCCTTCAAACTCTTTCAGCTATCAAGGTGATGCCACCAGCTCAAGTGTCAAAGTATCACAAGGGGACCCACACGTGCACATGAAATGACATTAGCTCATCTTGGCACAACCTGTGTGAAACATTGCGCATAAATGGTACATTCTTTTTGGAATGCATTCCGCCACAACTTTTGTGGCAATGCCGCTCAATGCCACGCAGCCTGCGACGTGCAGGCATGGAGCTCGCATATCGAACAGGGGGGTGCATGTGCAAAAACATTCTTATGATCACACAAGAGCGTTTTTATGTGAGGGCATGGTGCTGACACAGTGAGCCCACTTTCTATGCAGCACCGGCTCGTGTTCGTTAGGGGTTAGTGTGTTTGTATCTTTACCCTGTGATGTCGTCCGTCCAAGTGGAGGAGATTACTAGCAACTTGCTGGCACCAGCACTGAGAAATGCAGATTGATCGCATGAATATGTCTCGTTCATCCCGGTTCACGTTCTCACACTCATATCAATATATAACATCTTTGTTATGTGTGCTCAGGCCTTTTGGGAATCCACTTGTCTGCTGATATTTTTCAGCGATGCAGCCAAAACAAAAAAACCTCTCAACACTCTGTTTGAAGTGGAGAACGTCGGCGAAACCTCATATATGGACATGGTCAACCACATCGAGCTCATCTTAGCTTTGTATGAACTCTGCCCGCAAGGTGCATTGCTGTGTATAATGCGGCTGGATCTTTCTGCAAATGCATATGTACGTGGCACAGCCTGCATGCACAGTGTGAACGTGAGGTGAGTTCAGCGTGAGCACCATCAAGCACGTGTTCGCCAAGTTAGATGCAAGCTTTATGGGGGGCACTTTCTCACGGGACTACACTTCGCGAGAAAAAGCGGTGGT